TTTTTCCTTTTGACCCTGTGATGTAATTCATGCTCTCAAGAGAAGCATTGATTCCTTGCTATACCCAGCTGAAACAAAAGGGAAGAGACCAGGGAAATGTTTTGTACTGCTGCTAATACCACGTCTCTTTTCAGGAGATGAACGCATTCTTGAAATCTATTTTACTACTGCATTGTCCTCAGGCAGGTTGTGATTACGCCCTTGTTGCATGAACCGCTGCTTCACTTCCTTGAGAGACCCCAAAGCCAAGCTGGTTTGGTTGAAGCATCAGGGCTGCCTGTGCACGAATACTTCGGACAGCAGCTTTGGATACGAGGCGGCGTAAGGTGTTGCCTACTGCAATTGGCCGAATTCCTCCATCCTTCTTTTTAAGTGCACAAATGTTGCACCAAAAAAGAAAGGTCTAATTTCATCAGGGATCAGACCAGCAAGGGGAATTGTTGACGAACCTTGTGATCTCTGAAAGCAGTGTCTCTGAAATTTTCCCCCAATAACTGGATTAACCATTTCCTTTAAATCTGTTCCTTATTCAGTGTAACCCCAGCAGAGCCAGATGGGAACGACATTATTGCTTTGTAAATGTCTGAGTCTTCCACTATCAAGGTTCCATAGTGGGGACTGAGGTGTTGGAACTGTTGGTGCCACTGGTTTCCTGGCAGGTGCTTTCCTCTAAGTCAGTGGTTCCCAAATGGGGGTAAATTACCCCAACTGGGGTAAATTACCCCTGGGGGTAATTACCCCTGGGGGTAATTTAACCATTTTTGGGGGGTAATGGAGGGGTGACAGAAAAAAAGTTATGAATTTGAAAATCAAGAAACAATGCGGTACCCGGTATGAGGATTATTGTTAACTTTGTCTTAGTATATAAAGTTGTAAAGTAAACCTATTATAAGTAAGTAATAAAGTTAAACCAATAACAATAAACATCAAAAACTAATATACAGTATTAGAAAAGAAGAAATTATAGCTAAGTGTGTGGAAACCCAAAAGTATTTTGACAAGTATGCTTCAGGACAAAAGTCACTCAGTAGCCCAGATCGACTGTCCAGTATGCGTCACTCACTTCCTGAGGCTGCCTCTATTTCACACTGTCAGTTTATCTGTGAGCATCAGCCGAGGTAGACATAAGCTGGTATGTATGTGTACTGCCCTGTGCAGTATATAGTTAGTATTTACCCACTGTTACTGTGAATTTGTAGCTATTATTAATTTTATATATAATGTATGTGTGGTTTTACGTTTTCAATGGTTTTGCTAGGATTAGCAGAGTATGCGAGGCTGTATTACGATTCACTGTAGTCTCGCGCTACGGTGCTCTTGTGATGACAAGCATGATACTTGCAGCCTGACAATTTTGAATGTATGCGTGTGTGCTTGCATCAGTGAACTTGTGTTAGCTGCATGCGAGAAATTATGTACCTTGTTTTTTGCAGTGTATGCATGGATATTCTTCTTTTTCTGCAGATTGAACAAGAAAATGTCCAAAAAGCACCCTACACTGACGCTTTCTTGCCATGGCTTTGTGAATTTAACTTCTGGTGAGAGGATCGGCCACAATGTGTGGCATGTCACAAAGTGTTGACAATGAAAGCCACAAGCCATCAAAACTCTCAGTTTCACCTCCAGAAGTGCCATCCAAATCTTCAAAATAAGGATCAGGCTTATTTTCAGCGCAGGCTGTAGCATTGAAGAATTATCCAGTTCGGCTCATCTGGAATTCAAGCCCAAAAGCTTCAAGCTGCGGTCGAAGCATCTACTGTGTTGCATATAAAATTGCCGAACAACAGAAATGCCACACCATTGCAGAGAATCTGATTATGCCTTGTGCATACGAGATGGTAAGCAAGGTATGTGGGGAGGATCAAGCGAGAAAACTGAGTGTCATATCTCTATCAAACAACACCATCCGCCGACGAGTGATGACATGGCATCAGATATCCTGTCCCAAGTTACAACAGAGATCAAGGAAAGCTCATATGGCAAATTCTCCTTGCAATTTGATGAATCGTGTGACGTAGCCAGTTGTGCTGTTCTCCTTGGGTTCGTCCGTTACGTCCACCAGGACAAGATCAAAGAAGAGTTCCTATTATGCGAGGATTGCGACAACCACAAAGGAGAAGATGTCTTCAATATCATCAACAGTTTCTTTCCCAAAGAATGGATTGGATTGGAACAGCGTTCAACAGGTAGGAAACGATGTTTATATAAAGTCTTAATTAGTATAAATACAATGAATTACACGGCATATAGTATATACAGTTTTATTTATTGTACAAGTAACTGTAGTGTAGCTAATATTTTGTACATGATTCACACAAAAAATATCGTGCCTGTCGTACTGAAATACTCAAGTACCGAAATAATTAATTAAAACCATATAATTATAACGCAAAAGATAAGTAACAATGACTAACTGACGCAGTCTATAATAATTTTTCTTTTTATTCCAGGTCTCCGTCGATGGAGCACCGTCGATGATGGGTGGTCATCGTGGATTACGGGGCCTCATACAAGCTATCAATCCAGAAATTTCTGTAGATCACTGCATCATTCATCGGTACTCTCTTGGATCGAAAAGCCTGCCTGGTAATCTGAAGTTAGTGTTTGAAGATGTGTTGAAAATCGTCAACTTCATCAAGTCCAGAGATGTGAATTCGCGCATATTCAAGGAGCTGTGCAAGGAAATGGGAGAGCAGTATCAAGTTCTGCTCTACCACACCGATGTTCGCTGGTTGTCACGAGGCAAGGTTGTACGTCGAGTCATTGAGCTCCGAAAAGCTGTTCAGGAATTCCTGGAACAAAAGAATCTCCTTTTGCTACCAAGTTCACCGATAAGGAGTGGCTTGCTCGACTTTGTTACTTGGCTGACATATTTGCGGAGCTGAACAGTGATAATCTGCAACTCCAGGGCCGAAACACGACTGTCATTGATGCCCATCACACTGTGACTGCATTTCTGGGGAAACTGAGACTCTGGATTCGGCGCTTGGAGAAAGGAGTGATCGCCCAGTTTCCCACCCTAGACCAGTTTGTTGAGGAGAATAGTCATGATACTGGATCACATAAGAGTGCTTGCTCGACTTTGTTACTTGGCTGACTATTTGGCGGAGCTGAACAGTGGTATCTGCAACTCCAGTGGCCGAAAACACGACTTCATGATGCACCCATCACGACCTGATGACTGCATTCTGAGGATCCCGAGGGACTCTGGATCGGCGCTTGGAGAAAGGAAGTGAATCGCCCAGTTTCCACCCTATGACAGTTGTTGGAGAATAGTCATGATACTGGATCCCAAATTTACAGACCATCAACAAAAGAATGTGCGAGGGGCCATTTGAAGGGGTTGAAACAAAAGCATGCTCACTACTTTCAAGAGTGACCAAGGAAACAGCCACTCTTCAGGGCATCATTCTAACTCCTTCTCTGTACTGATGATGCCATCATGATGATGATTCTTCCTTGCTAAAGAGGAGTGATCACAATGCGAGCAATGAAGCTTGAAAATCGAATTCCAAAACCAAAATGCAGAAATCCTTTTGGATTTCACGACTACCTGACTCGCCAACTCTGGTCCAAAGAGCTGAAGTTGTTGGTATCAACCACAACGTATCTGTGCGAGAGGGCTTCTCACTGTGCGGGTATGGAAACAAAAAGAGATCGCTTGAATGGTTGAAACGATTTGCACGGCTGCACTTTCAACACGAAGCCAAGATTCCTAACTAGCTTCAAGTATGCAACTCCATCATCCCACTGATGTTCTTGCATCTTTGGTAATAGTCATTAGAGGATGCACATGTTCAAATAGAATAAATAAAAGAAAATATCTCAAGTGTTTTAATTTAGCAATTTTTATATCAAATAACAACATTTTGTAAAGGGTAACATGCTTTATGTGCATGTTAAATTGGTGGTACAAGTAGTGAAAAGTTTGGGAACCACTGTCTCTAAGTGCTTCAGCGTGTCAGCATCCTGGGGAGCAACTGTATCTTCATGGGTAATAATTCTATTGCCCTGACTGTTTGCCCTCTTCAAATTTTTATTCTTTGCTCACCTGGGACTCTGGACTTTTTCACTGTCAGGATTGAGTGGGGTCTGCTCTCCCTTTTTTGTGTTGCGGGGAAGGCGATGAGGTTATCAACTCTAGGAAAATCTCTTAGGATTTAATTATCATTAGGCTAGCCCCTTTCCCTTCTTTCGGCACAGCTAAGCAGACATGCCAAAAAGTAGCAAGTTTTGCCATGCCTTGATGGTTGGTGGAGCATTTAGATAGTGGAACCATCGTTTACTTTTTTCAGGAGGTCTGTAAGTTTCCAGCTGCGTGTGGACGGGCTGCTTTGGGAATATGTGTGAGTGTCCTGGTACCGTTGCTTTAATTGCTTCCAAGAGATTGTCTGATGAGATGAAATCTGTTGGAGAGGGTTCAGGTGCCTGAGGTGGCTCTGGATCATCACTTTCCACAGGAGGACATCCTGAACCAGGGCAACTACCGTGTTTGCGGAGGAAACCATTCGAGTTGAGACAACGAAGCTGTAAGCATGACCGACACTTGCCTCTCCTAGTATTGCCAACCGTGCCATTTCCCTGGCTACTTGCTTCCTCCTGGTTGGCATCCATCTGCTAGACTAGACAATAGGAGTGGAATATGACATGCTGTGTGGGTATGGTGGTGGAAGGTAGTGAACTTGACCGTGGTGGCCTGGTGGAGTTTGAGGGGCTGGGAGGGGAAGGGAAAACTTCCCTGGGAATTAGGTGGGGGAGCGCAGGTTGTTGAGTGGGGTTATCTCGGGAAGTACAATACACATGGATTTGCGCACTATATATTGTTCACACTGTCTTACAATACACATAACTTTATTTGTTTCCCATGTACACTATGAACAATGTGGGTATGGACACTGCTGAACCAATGTGTTCACTCACCATCTAGTTACACATCCCGCCTCTTCCACCCACCCCCGTGACGTGGGGGTGGATGCACTGACTGGTCACTCCCTCGTTAACATTAATTTCACATTGTTTTTCCATAACATATGCCTCTAAATAGTCCATGCATCGACACAATCATTTCCAAGTTAACTGGAAGCATGGTGCATGGTGCTGGATATACATGTTTTTATAAGAGCTTTTCGAGGTTTATATGTACGATAATTTTGGCCGGTACTCATACACAGTGTAGGCCTTATACTCCCCCACCCCTCCACTGGCCGTCTTCGTCACTACCACCACTCACCAACATTCACAAACTGCACAACATTTCCACAATTTACCTTGAAACGGTGCACTGAAATGTCTTCTCGCTTCACTGGAATCTTCCCAGAGTATTCACAATAAGTCCTGTTGAGTCTTAACCTGGTCAGCTTTTCATTGAGGGGATGTTGCATCGTCTGCCAAGTCTTTTGCTTTCTTAGTGAGTGATTTTCGTTTGCAAGTTCGGTACTAGTCCCTCTAGGATTTTCCAGGTGTATATAATCATGTATCTCTCCCGCCTGCATTCCAGGGAATACAGGTTTAGGAACCTCAAGCGCTCCCAGTAATTGAGGTGTTTTATCTCCGTTATGCGCACCATGAAGGTTCTCTGTACATTTTCTAGGTCAGCCATTTCACCTGCCTTAAAAGGTGCTGTTAGTGTGCAGCAATATTCCAGCCTAGAAGAGAGTCATCATGGGCTTGGCCTCCCTAGTTTTGAAGGTTCTCATTATCCATCCTGTCATTTTTCTAGCAGATGCGATTGATACAATGTTATGGTCCTTGAAGGTGAGATCCTCCGACATGATCACTCCCAGGTCTTTGACGTTGGTGTTTCGCTCTATTTTGTGGCCAGAATTTGTTTTGTACTCTGACGAAGATTTAATTTCCTCGTGTTTACCATATCTGAGTAATTGAAATTTCTCATCGTTGAACTTCATATTGTTTCAGCAGCCCACTGAAAGATTTGGTTGATGTCCGCCTGGAGCTTGCAGTGTCTGCAAAGAAACACTGTCATGCAATTTGGTGTCATCTGCAAAGGAAGAACGGTGCTGTGGCTGACATCCTTGTCTATATTGGATATGAGGATGAGGAACAAGATGGGAGCGAGTACTGTGCCTTGTGGAACAGAGCTTTTCACCATAGCTGCCTCGGACTTTACTCTTTTGACGACTACTCTCTGTGTTCTGTTAGTGAGGAAATTATAGATCCATCGACAGATCTTTCCTGTTATTCCTTTAGCACGCATTTTGTGTGCTATTACGCCATGGTCACACTTGTCGAAGGCTTTTGCAAAGGCTCGTGATAGAGGCCTCTTGCAGTTCTTGATGAACACGGAGTTCCATGAGTCTGGCCCTGGGGCAGAGTGCATGGGCATGTCATTTATCGCCTGTTCGAAGTCATTTGGCGTCAGGATAACATGAGATAGGCTTGTGTTAACCAAATTCTGTGGCTCTCTCATAAAAAATTCATTTAGATCTTCGACTCTAAGTCTGGTTAGCGGCTTGCTAAAAAGTGAGTCATATTGGGACTTGAGTAGCTCACTCATTTCCTTGCTGTCATCTGTGTAGGACCCATCTTGTTTAAGTAGGGGCCCAATACTGACGTTGTTCTCGACTTTGATTTGCCATAGGAGAAGAATACTTTGGGTTTCTTTCGATTTCATTTATGGCTTTTAGTTCTTCCCGCGATTCCTGACTCCTATAAGATTCCTTTAGCTTAATTTCGATGCTTGCTATTTCTCTGACCAGTGTCTCCCTATGCATTTCAAATATATTGACCTCTTTTAGCCGCTCTGTTATTCTTTTCCGTCGCCTGTAAAGGGAGCGCCTTTCTCTTTCTACTTTACATCTACTCCTCCTTTTTCTTAGAGGAATAAGCCTTGTGCATACATCGAGTGCCACCAAGTTAGTCTGTTCTAGGCATAAGTTGGGATCTGTGTTGCTTAGTATATCTTCCCAGCTTATATCGGTTAGGACTTGGTTTACTTGGTCCCACTTTATGTTTTTGTTATTGAAGTTGAATTTGGTGAATGCTCCCTTGTGACTAATCTCATTATGTCGGTCTGGGGCTCCATGCATACATGTCTGAACCTCAATTATGTTGTGATCTGAGTATATTGTTTTTGATATGGTGACATTTCTTATCAGATCATCATTGTTAGTGAAGATGAGGTCTAGTGTATTCTCTAGTCTAGTAGGCTCTATCATTTGCTGGTTTAAATTGAATTTTGTGCAGATTTAAAAGCTCGTGTAAGTGTGAGTTTTCTTCAGAGCTGCCTCCTGGTGTTATTACTGCAACAATATTATTTGCTATATTCCTCCATTTTCAGTGCCTTAAGTTGAAATCCCCCAGGAGCAAGATGTTATGTGCAGGAGCTGGAAGATTTTCCAGACAGTGCTCAATTTTTAACAGCTGTTCCTGGAATTGCTGGGATGTTGCATCTGGAGGCTTGTAGACTACCACAATGACTAGGTTTTGGTTCTCTACCTTTAATGCTAAAACTTCCACTACATCATTTTAGGCATTAAGCAGTTCTGTGCAAACGAGTGACTCTGCAATATACAGGCCAACCCCTCCCTCCCCTTTTGCCTGTTCACTCTGTCACATCTGTATAGGTTGTAACCTGGGATCCATATTTTGTTGTCCAAGTGATCCTTTATGTGGGTCTCAGTGAAAGCCGCGAACATTGCCTTTGCCTCTGCAAGCAGTCCACGGATGAAAGGTATTTTGTTGTTTGTTGCTGGCTTTAGACCCTGTATATTTGCAAAGAAGAATGTCATCG